GTTGCTTAGGCAGCGCCCAGACAGGAGAAGGTATGGTGGAAACCAGAGCCCTAGTCTCTGTCTGATTGCTCGTGAGCCCCCTGCTTGCTTGCCCCACATATCCTGTGGCTTCCCTGACAGACTTTCTCCCTGACTTCTAGCTGAACCTTCCACTAGCCCTTGAAGACTTAGTTTGAACCGTATCCTTTCCCAGAACCCCTCTTCCAGGTTCCTAACATCCCCCATTCCCCTCTCTCCCCTTTCCTCCCATTCCCCTCCCCAACTCAGAACCCACCCCACCACCATCCCCTTCCCTCCCCCATCCCTAAGCCACCCCCACCTCTGTCCTGGCCACCTCAGGGCGCCCTGAGAGGACCAGGACATGCGGGTGCTGTGGCTGCTCTCTTGGCTCCTCCTGGGACTTCCCAGCCACCAGTCCACCCATATGAGTAGATGCTGGACCCGTGGGGTTTCTTCTTTGTTATTGGGCTGTGTCATGTGGCAAATTCACGGTGCAGGCCTGTAATTTCAGTGCTTTAGGGGGTTAATGTGGGAAGATCACCTGAGTCCAGGAGTTTAAGACTAGCCTGGACATCAGAGACAAACCCCATCTCTACAAAAGATTCCAGAAAAGATTAGTTGGTTGCCCACTGCACTCTTGTCTCAAACAGAATAAACCAAAACAAAGTGAAATTTGAGTTTTGTGTCGTCTGGTTTGATGACTTTTTAGGAACTTCTGAGTCATCCATGTCTTCTGCTCTTGGGGGCTGCCTCTAGGGAGTCTGTGTCCAGGCACTGCGATGGGAGCTGAGAAGCCCATCAGATGGAGAGGAAAGGGCTGCATCTGCTGGGAGGTTTGCAACATGGGAGTCACTAGGAGTGACATGATCAGGATGTGAATGAGGACTGTACTGTCCTTTGTTTTGTAAAGTGTGTATGGTGCAGATCATTGATTGAACCAAAGGAGAAAGGGTCTTAAAGTCCTTGTGTTATCCAAATATAAAGAAATGACAGGCCAGGTGTGGTGGCTCATGCCTGTAATTGGGAGGCTGAAGCCGGCGGATCAGTTGAGGTCAGGAGTTCCAGACCAGCCTGACCAACATGGTGAAACCCTGTCTCTGCTAAAAATAGACAAAATAGCCAGGCATGGTGGCAGGTGCCTGTAATACCAGCTACTCAGGAGGCTGAGGCAGGAGAATGGCTTGAACCCAGGTGGCAGAGGTTGCAGTGAGCCAAGATTGTACCACTGCACTCTAGCCTGGGTGACTGAGCAGGACATTCTAAAAAAAAAAAAAAAAGATTTTTTGTGATTTTTTTTTTTTTTTTTTTTTTTTTTTTTGAGACAAAGTCTCCCTCTTGTCTCCCAGGCTGGAGGGCAATGGCACGATCTCGGGTCACTGCAACCTCCGCCTCCCTCGTTCAAGCGATTCTTCTGCCTCAGCCTCCTGAGTAGCTGGGATTCCAGGTGCCTGTCACCACACCTGACTAATTTTTATATTTTTGGTAGAGATGAGGTTTCACCATGTTGGCCAGGCCGGTCTGGAACTCCTGACCTCAGGTGATCTGCTAGCCTCAGCCTCCCAAAGTGCTGGGATTACAGGCATTAGCCACTGCACCTGGCCTTTTTGTGATTTTTTTTTTTTTTAAGACCATCAGTTATTGTTAGTGTTAATGTATTTTATGTGTGGCCTAAGACAAGTTTCCTTCTTTTAATATTGCCCACGGAAGCCAAAAAATTGGATATGCCTGCTTTACGTCAAAAAAAAAAAAAAAAAAAAAGACACCCTACATTTGGAATGCCTAAAAACACTACCAGCCATGCCAAAAACATGAGACTGGTAACTTCCAATCTTTTTCGAAGCCGTAGAATACCCTGGTGATATCTGAGGGGTGTGGTTACCTCTTGAAGGAGGTTGATGGTTTCTGAAGATTATCATTTTTTACTGAAATATTGTAAATGTCACTGACCTTTTCATTATTTCAACTGTTATTATTCCAGGCCGTCAGTTTTCCACCAGATTATTTGTATCTTGGGCATGACTTTCTTGGCGTTCTGTGGATGCTTATCACTATTGTGTTTCTGGGAGTTTCTACAGTTGGACTTTTCCTCTGAAAAATTAGCTTGTGTGAGAGTATACTAACTTCCTGTAGAGGTATACTTATAATCACACATAAGAAGAAATTATTTAAAACAATTCATGGTTCTGGACTTTATTATGAATATTGGGTTTTACCAAAAACATCAGGGAAATGATTTATTAGCATAAGAATTATAAAAATATCTGCCATTTACATTATGAAAAATAAGTAGGTTGGTGTTTGTTTAATGGAATGTCAACAGAGCTTTGGGTTAAAAATAAGTTTGTTTTTTTTTTAACCTTTGTGCTCTTTATCAGAAATGGAGTATGAAGTTTTGGCACTTAAATGGGAAATTCTGTCTAACCTTTTCTGCATTATAATTCTATTGTTTGGCTGGAAGGAAAGCTTTCACTTTCCTCTCTAAAGGTTCACTGCAGAAATGAACCAACAACAGACAGCTTAACAGGAGAAGAAAAACATAGAACAGGCATAAACATGGGAGCCAGCCGAAAAATGAGACTGCAAGAAGGGCCAGATGGTTGATGCTTAAAGAGTGCTGTCTTTTCGGGAGAGAGGGAAATAGATAGAGATGGAGGCAACTTAGAGGAGGAGTAAGTGATTTTTAGGGGAAATGAAAGAGCCCAAGGAACCAACAGTTGGCCTGAGACAAAGTTCCTCTGAGATCATTAGGAAGAGGTGACAAACTGCAGGAAGGTGAAGGGCAGAGCTGCACTGCCTCTCATGATGCAGAGAAAGCCCCAGAGAGTCTGTTGGAACCACCCTTCAGAGAATAAATGAAGAGTGTGGCTGGGCAGGGTAATTTTGAATGACGTCACTCAATGTGCAAGTTCCCGGTTGCAGGTCGAGAGGGAACAGTATGTCCGTAGTCTGTACTTGATAGGAATTTGGCTGCTAAGTTGTATCATTATTTGAGCCTTTTTGTCCATTGGGTAAATTGAGCTGTACATTTTCTCTTGCCAGTCATGACAGGAGGCAAGCAGGACTTCAGACTTTCAGGCTCCAGGTTTGCATATGGAGACCTGACACCGGTTCAAGCAGTTCCCTACCTCAGCCTCCCGAATAGCTGGGATTATAGGTGCCCGTCACTACACCTGGGTAATTTTTGTGTTTTTAGTAGAGACGGGGTTTCTCCATTTTGGCCAGGCTGGTCTTGAACTCCTGACCTCATGATCCACCTGCCTCAGTCTCCCAGAGTGCTGGGATTATAGGTGTGAGCCACCATGCCCGACCGCCTCATAGTCTTTGTCTGAAATACAGGGGCAGAGGTATTCTTCCCAGGGCAGTCCAGGGTTCAGTGAGACAAGTTATGCAGGTCTATCAGCAGAGTGACTTGGGCAAGGGAGAGGCTCCACAGCTGTCTTCTTTCCACAGTTGCTCAGAGCGATTGTGAGTGAGGCTGGAAAGTAGCCCACGTGGGATAGTGGCTGTGTACATGGAGGAGGTTGCCTGGTGAGGAAGGAGACCCAAGCATCTAAGATCACCTTCCCCTTGACTTCCACACTGCATTTCAATAGAAGTAAAGGCTGGCCTTACCAGACGCCACCTTAATCGCCCTCCTATAGATCGCAGGCATGGTGTGGGGGAATCTTTCTGGAAGGCATTGTTTTAACTTAAGTTCAAACCCCCACCCCATGCCTACTCCATGGACCAAGACCCTTTCACATGTAATTTCTAAAACTGTAAACCCAAGACCCTTTCACATGTAATGTCTCGAGTTGTAAGCCTATATAAAGGCGGGGCTTCCGTTTGTTAGAGGAGCTTGGCTATTCAGCAGTTATGCCGCCTTGCTCCAGCGCGCCCTCTGCTGGTGGCCGGGGGCACTGCAGGGCCCTGGCACTCACAGCGCTGGTGGAGGGGACACGCCCTCTGGTGGCCGTCCCACTGTACCACTTAAAGTCGGAGCGCAGAGTATTCAGCGCCATCGTTCTGGAAATGCAAACCAACACAGAGCACACTAGCTCATGTGTTTCTAAAATGGAAGAAGGGAAAATTAATTGGAAACCATAGGAATGAAATAAACATGGCTGCACATTTTACAACATGGAAAAGGTCACTCAACATAGTCTTCATACTTAAAATGCAAAACTGTCAGAGGCATCTTAACCACAGTGACTTTAATTAAAAGCTATAGAAAAAGTTAAATCCGGGCAGGGTGCGGGACTCATAAGTGTAATCCCAGTACTCTGGAAGGCCAAGGTGGGAGGAACACTTGAGATCAGGAGTTCAAGACCAGCCTGGAAAAATAGTGAGACCCCCCCATGTCTACAAAAAATATAAAAATTAGCTGGTGTGGTGGTGCGTGCCTGTGATCCCAGCTACTCAGGAGGCTGAGGCGGGAAGATCGCTTGAGCCCAGGAGTTTGAGGCCGCAGTGAGCCAGCCATGATCGCACTGCTGCACTCAAGCCTGGGACACAGAGTGAGAACCTGTCTCTCTCTCTCTCTTTCTCTCTGTCTCACACACACACACACACACACACACACGTTAAATTTGTCGGATCATAAATTTAGGGGTTGAGCACCTTTGGTTATAAAATATTTATGGTTTCAGGAACAAGTTAATAACTAAATAAAGAACCCAGAACTTATAAAAATATAAGAGTAGGTTAAGCAAAAAGCATTCTTAATTTAAAAATAAGTTTAACTTTAAAGATAATAGTACACTCATAAATTATTGTTGAAATCACTAGTAACATAGAAAAGTACCAATACTGAGAGCCTGACACAAACTGATCACAGGCCTTTGTAAGAGACAGCACTATTCTTAATAACCTATATAAACAAACATTAAGGCACAGTGGCTCACACCTGTAATCCCAGCACTTTGGGAGGCCGAGGAGGGCGGATCACTTGAGGCCAGGAGTTGGGCACCAGCATGGCCAACATGGTGAAACCCAGTCTCTATTAAAAATACAAAAAAAGTAGCTTTGCACAGTGGCAGTATCATAGCCAATGAGGTTTATCTGAGGCATGATTATTGCTAATTGAACTTTCCCCAATACCCCACCATGACGACTGGAAATATAGTCATTGCCAATTGCATTGGCAATTACTGGCAGTCTCTATGGGGACTGAATTTTAAAAAATTAAATAAATAAAGTAAAAATAAAATGGAAAAGAAATACAAAAAAAAAAAAAAATTAGCCAGGCATGGTGGTACACACCTATAATCCCAGCTACCTGGGAGGTTGAGGCAGGGGAATCCTTAAACCGAGGAAGCAGAGGTGGTAGTCAGCCGAGATCATGTCATTGTAACAAGAGTAAAACTCCGTCTCAAAAATAATATTTTTTTCTTTAAAACAGGTGCGTTCCTCCCCTTGCTTTCTGAGGATTCCCTGCTCTGTAACTTAGTAGTGGCTAATAAACTCTCCTAACGTCACTAGACTCTGCAGCTCGCCATAAATTCCATCTCGTGTGAGATCCAAAAACCCGTTGTTGGAGTCTTAGATAGACCCCTTTTGTGGTGACAAAACTATACTAGTTCTTTTCTTTTCTTTTCTTTTCTTTTTTCTTTTTTTTTTTTTTGAGATGGAGTCTTGCGCTGTTGCCCAGTCTGGAGTGCGGTGGTGCTTTCTTGGCCCACTGCGACCTCTGCCTCCCAGGTTCAGCGATTCTCCTGCCTCTGCCTCCCAAGTAGCTGGGATTACAAGCGCCTGCCACCACGCCTAATTTTTGAATTTCTATTAGAGACAGGGTTTTACAACGTTGGCCAGACCAGTTTCGAACTCCTGACCTCAGGTAATCCACATGCTTAGGCCTCCTAAAGTACTGGGCTTACAGGCGTGAGCTACCTTGCCTGGCCAGCTTGTATCCTTGGTGATCACTTGGATACAGAGGGTGAAGGAGGAGGGGTGTCAAGCAGATATTCCTCTTGGATTACCACCTGGGATATTAGGTGCAAGGCTCTATTCTTGGTTCGAACTCTGAGAGTGCCAACTAACAACTCGAGGCGGTGTGGAGCAACATGCTGTTTTAATGAGCACCTGGGTGCAGATGGCTGAGGGCTAAAATGGCATCAGCCCCACGTGAGGGTGAGGCAGGGGTTTTCTAGTCTCCTGTAAATGGGAAGTGTTCCAGTCTGATATAACTGCTACGTGGGACCTAGACGGCCTCTCTCTTGATCTTCAGGGGGTACTTATCTTCCGGCCTGCCCTCTTCTGGCTTCTGCTCTCTTGCTGCCCGACGATGCTGGTGCAGGTGGTCTTGTACCGTGGGACCGGGCCTGAGGAGGGAGGAGTTATCCCCCAAGTTTTCAGGTCCCGGGGAGAATCTTTCATTAGGGAGAGTAGGCTGGCTGATTTTTCTTTGTTAGGCACAACGTGGTTTTGCGGGTGCAGTGGGGCGCCTCAAGCTAAAAGCTTGACTCCTCGTATAGGTGGACCCAACATGGCCGTTTCTGTGGCTGCCAGGCCACTTTGAGGCTGAGAGAGACAGCTTTGTCTGGCTCTGTCCTGCAGATGTTTACAGATGCCTTCTCTGTGTTGGCAGACCTGGGGGTCCACCAGATAGGATCCCATGAAGAGATCTCAAAGGTCTTTAGTCCAATGTGTTTATCACATCATTTTCACAATCAAAGATGAATAAAATACAGAGGTTTATTTAGTGATAAGGTTGATGGTGCACCTGTGCTAGGCAGTGTTTTAGTTCCTTGGGACACCAAGGAGTTGAGACAATCCCTGCCTTAGAGTTTCGCATCTGTAAGTCCTGCTATTGAGAGCTGTGTGTGTCAAGATGTCTGATTTGGTCAGGCAGGATCTGTGCTGTCTGCAGTCTTAGGTAAGGGGAGGCTGGTGTCCAGCAAGTATCCAGTACCCCCTCAACATCCCAGTTGTTCGCCACCAATCTTCCGATTCTAGGACTGATGTGGAGGCCCTCAAAGTGACTTAAGAGGGGGAGGTATTCAGTGTGCTCTGTGGCTAGCTCGTTTGGGAGAGTAAATTGTAAATCCTCTGCCAATAAAACGTTGGGAACAAGTAGCGTATCAGCTTGAGTTTCTCGTAAATGGCTTGCAGTCGTATAAACCAGAGCATGGATACCACAGGGCGACATGAGAGTCCCTCTACCACCCTTTCTCTCAGTGGCCTAGGTGGGCATCTACACAGAATAATGTGTGCAGCCTCACTGTGTGAAAGCTCGCTGTCTAACAGGAGGCACGGGATAGCCTTGGTCTTATGAAGACCATGGGTGCCCAGCTCACTTCGGCCCTGATCAGCCTGATGCAGGCCCTGGGCCCTGGTTCTGGAGGTGAGAATACACCCTGGACTTGCACTGCATGGCTGGCACAGTGGGCATTCATGTGCCTATTTGGGGACTGTTATGGAGTCCTGTGCCAGATGCAGTGGTGCACGGCTGGGAGCCAAGGGTCCCTGCTTCTGCTGGAGAATCTGGGCAGACGTAAAGGGTTAAGGTTAGGGTAGGGGTAGGGTTAGAGTTAGGGGTTAAGGTTAGGGTTGGTGTTGAGGTTTGGGGGTTGGGGTAAAGGGTCAAGGGTCAGGGATTGGGGTAGGCGTGGGGTTAGGGTCAGGGGGTTAGGGTTAGGTTTAGAGGTTAAGGTGGGGATAGGGGTAGGGGTTAGGGTAAGGGTAATAAGCAGATTAGTAAAAGCAATTCTTCACTTCAATAACAGCCTTCTCCAACTCATTTTGTCTCAACAAACTTATTTTTCCAGCAGAAGAATCCCAGGCTTCTTAAAGCACCCAGTGACTTTTCACACCTTAAATCTGTGACATCCTTGTGTTTTCTTCTGCTGTATGCATAGTTCAAACATACAAGATGAGGCAAAGCCAGACGCATTCCTGAAGGGACCCAAGAAATTCCTCACTTTCTCTCTGTGGAACAAAATGAATTATCTAGACCATCAGTACTAACCTTCAAAAGCCAAACCTGTTTGTGAGGTCTCCTTTAGATACTACTGTAGACCCAAGTGTTTGTATTTATATGATATTATTTTAGTATTGATATTAATATAAGGGAGAACGTTTACATCTGTCTATACCACATGTGCCTCTGGCTTACTGCCCAATTAATTGTAGCCTCAGGCTAAACTTTGGTTTCTGTCTCTAATTCTTGTCAGAATAAATGTAACTGATCTCAAAAGATCTGCCTTTATGGAAGGGACTCGTGCTGCCATCTCCATTCCTCTCTCTTTTCTTGCAATCTGCGTGGAAGTTCTTTAATGTGGACATTTTGACCACCTTCACTCTCCCATGTCCATTGTCAGCACATTCAGACTTACCCAGCCGAGGCTGTCATCTTAGGCCAGGGATTTTTTAGGGATCTTTATTTTGCTGTGATACGGTTGGCACCCCTTTGACTCACTGTATCACCCAGGGTACTTTTCATTTTAGGAGCCCAAGGGGGGCAGAAAAAGCAGTAGGTGAGCAATTAAACCCCCTGAGTCAGGAGAGTGTCCCCTTGCGTTAAGCAATGTTGCAGAACATCGTATGACGTAATCTAGCAGATGGGCCACGTGGCTGCCGAGCACACATGCCCGCTTGCTGCTGTGAGCTCAGACTCCCTCATCATTAGTCTTTTCTATCTCGGGAGGGAATTATAAGGGCCACTTAATAATCTGTAAGTCATAGAGAGTTAAAGGTGTTTCCCCAAAACACTGAGGACAGAATGAAAGGTGAGGAGTGTTAGCCACAGGTCAAAAGTGCAGGAAAGTCTCTCAATGTGGGTTGTTGGAGAAATACAAGTCTTTTTTTCTTTTGGAAGTCTCCCTAGAATGGGCGAAGGACTCTGCCCATGCTGAAAAATTGGGATATTAGACACCCTCGGATATTTATCCCAAGCCTTCATTTAGGGTTCTTAATGAGTTTGTTCAGCCATCACAGTCTCAAATGCTAAGTAGGACATTGGAATCTCTCCACAGTCCAAATTAGCACTGTCTTTTAAAGTTGAGTTTCTCATTATTCTCACTTGATATACCCTATCTATCCCACACTCACCCTAATAACACATCGTGCTCACTGCTATCTTTGCAACAAGACTTGAATTTTTCTTAGCCTGGAGGAGTGCCCTTCATATGTCCAGATCCAGTTCTGACTCATTCTTCAGCCCTGCATCAGTCAGTGGGGGCTACGTTAAACCATGGTGACAAACAACCTCCACATTTCAGTGGCTCAAAAATCTTCTTCCTCATTTATTTACATCTCATCATGGGTCAGGGGAGAGGTAGCTCTGTGCTGTGGTGTCATCCTAACAGGAATCAAGGCTGAAGGAGGTACCATTAATAAGACCAAAAGCATGCTGGATAGAACTCTGTTTCTTAGAGATATCTCCTGAAAAAGTCGCATATTATTTCTTATCATCTCCAATGGCAAAAAAAAAAAAAAAAGAAGAAGTTATGTGGCCATGCAAAATGTAAGTAGGTGGGATGGAACAGTCAGAATGCATTCATAAAAAATGAACTGAAAATATTTGGAGAACAGCGCCAATGAGTACCGTGAATGCCAGCATGCATTCCTAACAACCCAGTGCTGTTACCCTTCACACTTCTTATGTCTTGCAAAGTATTAGAACTTCTTATCTGAAGCCATATGCAAAATACATAATGACATCTCCTTTAGGATGTCCTTAGAGAATTCAAGGAAAAGAAGTTAAATAATCCAAAAGTGCTTTTGGGTACAGCTATTTAGCACTGGAGGGTAAGATTAGAGATAGACGGTAGTGATAATAGTAGGGTCAGGGTTAGAATTGGGGTCTGGGTCAGGGTCAGGGCTGGAAGTGTGGTTAGAGGTGGGGTCATGGTCAGGGTCAAGATAAAAGCTAGGGTCAAAGTCAGGGTCAGAATTAGGGACCAGGGTATGGATCAGGGGTTAGGGTCAGAGTCAAAGTCTAGGGACAGGGTTAGGGTTAGAACCAGAGCTTTGTTCTCCTCAGGACCCACCCAAGGAGAGGCCATGGCTTTAGAGCACCTGGTAGTGTGTCCACAGTGAAGACCAAAGTTTCATTCTCCTCAAGTCTGACCTGGGGGGACGTGGCTGCAGGCCATGTGACGAAGGTGAGGCAAAAGCTTCCTGTCTGCTCCCCATGTGCAGAGGAAGGAACTGCGACACTGGCTTTACTT